TATTTGTTGAATGAGTAAATAAAAGAATCTCTTTAAAGCTCAATTTTTTCATCTGTAAAAGATAGTGACTGTGTAAGTATCTATCTGTAGAGATGTTCTAAGAATGAAATGAGATAACATTTGAGAAATGCCTAGAACACAGGAAGTGTTTGCTACTGTAAGATACTATTATTGCTGTTATTATTATTGTTACCACTGCTTAACTATTATTACTGTTACTACTGCTAGTAATAAATGTTGACCTGGGCTTTTGTCAGGGGGAAGTTTTTTCTAGTGCCCATGTTGGTTGGGGCTATTGGTGTAACCTGGGGTTCAGTGCCCAGAGGGGCTGGGAGTGGTAGTGACCTCATGCTCCCCAGCTTCCCTAGCATCTCCAGTCTCGTCTGGGCCTCTCCCACAGCTCAGAGATTATGCTTCTTCCAACGTTGCTCACTTTTTCCTGGACTCTCATCCTCCACTGAACTCATTCTCCTTGAAGCTGAGGATCCCATGGTTATCTTTGTGTCATGCACAATGCTGATACATGCCCTAGGAGGTGCCATGGAGGTGCTCAGCAGATGTTGTCTGAGGGAGTGATGAAGCAGACAGGCTGGACTCTGGCCTGAGCTAGCTGAGGATACAGGAATCATTTTAATATTTTTTTCCAGAGAATAGGACAGATAGGTGAACTAGAGGGCAGGGGAGGTCTTTGGCCTTTGTCATTTCTCTTGTTTTTCCTTCTTGTGTTTTCTGTTTAAAAATCCCTGTTTCTTGAGAGAGGACAGGTGGATCTGGTAGGTCTTATGGAATCTTACTATTTCTTTGGATAGGACCCTCCCATCCCCACCCCACCTCACCCCCACCAAGTTAAAGCAAACCCCTYCCTGGCATCTGAGTTCTTTGCTTGGGTGGTGCAGTAGGGTCAGAGCTAAGCTTGTGAACAGACAGCCTGCTGAGCATATTCTCCTTTGAGAGGCTCTGGTCTTGGGCATCCTTAATGTCTTAGGGAAAGGGTGAGCAACCTTCCAGCCTAACATACTGTAAGGAAAAAAGAAATGGATATGACTCCTGAGTCCTAGTGTGTTCTGCCATTGAATTGCTGCAGGACCTCGCCAGTTATTGGATTTCTCTGAATCTTTACTTTCTTAGTTAGTGAATGTTTTTATATCTTAGGAATCCCATGTTTCTTAGGAAACACTATCAAGGCTTTTCAGAGATAGCTCTGAGTGAGTATTGGTGGGAAATGGCCTGCATTTTAGTTATCAGTCAGAAAGAAATTAGTTGAGGCTCTTTAAAAAATTAGACTATGTGTTTTAATGAGAACTATAGGTTAGTGCTGCACTGCATGTTAGGAGCCAGATTGTAGCATTTTATGTTCTGGTAGGGACTGTGTCTTTGTCTTCCAGGATCATTAGTGCTGTTTGCCCTTCTGTCTGAATTTCTAGCTTTGGCTGAGGGRTGCAGGCTGCTGGCTGTGGGATGTAGGCTAGAAGGCCTTGACCAGTCGGCTGGGCTTTAGTGATTGCTGTGGGATGTGTTATCTGGTGACCAAGTAGGTACTTT